GGAGGTCGGCGCGCTACGACGAGATTTGACAGAGAGGGTTGATGATCTGGGACGAGAGTTGACTGGGAGGGTCGATGATCTGGCAGGGAGGGTTGACTATCTGACAGGGAGGGTCGACGATATGGGACGAGAGTTGACAGGGAGGGTTGACGATCTATCCCATGATGTTGGAATACTACAGTCTTCCATTGTCAACCTTCAGGATACAATAGCGGTGCTTAGAGGAGATTTAGCCGGCAAACGATGGGGGGCAGAGGGGATGGCGGAGATCATGATCGAGAGGGTGGCAGAAATGGTGATGGAGAGGGGGGTCACCCACATTTTTGGTGTGATGAGACATTGGAGTCATTGTAGTTGTCTATGGAGGGGGTGGCCCCGATGGGGATGGACGAGGAGACTACGGAGGGATGGCCTCAACAGGAGGGACGGAGGAGGTGGCGATGGAGGGGGAGGCCCCGACGGGAGGGGCAGAGGTGCTAGTGACGGAGGGGGAGGCCTCGATGGGGGGTGGAGGAGGTGGCCCCGGAGGTCGAGAGGACACCCGGTGTGATTGAGGGTAAGAGACATGTTGTTGACGAGATGGAGCAGGTGGTCGGCAAGAGGTTGAGAGTGCCGTCACAGTATGTTGTTTCCCCTTCATGGCTGAGGCCAAGAGGAGGACGTTCATTGATGGGACGTACCCGAACTTATTCAGAGAGGTGGGCAATGTCAAGTGGAAAGCGTTCGAGACAGAGTGGAGGAGAATTATCCCTGAGTAAGTATTGTATGATTTTAATAAAGCACTGTACGCTAACTCGTCTACCCTTATTTTAACATTTCCCTATTTTTTACAGAGTTAGCCGCACAATGGGTTAAAGGACAGTCTCGGACCCTTACAAATGGTTCCACGATATCACCACTGCGGGAGCTTGGCTCGCTAATGATGTAAGTGAACTGTTCATTTCGTGTTTTTTATATATATGTGACCTTGTGTTTATTAAATGAATAACTCATACTTTTTTGGTGTTTCCTGCTACAGCACATCGACCTGGCCATGGACTTGCTACGAGATCGAGCTCAAAGACATCCAAAATCATTTGATGTCCATGGTCGAGTCATATTAAACACCGAGTTCCTGGGTGCCGTTATCATAGAGTATCAGTCGCTCGAACATATGGGTAACGAGTACACGGTGCCAGAATAAATGCTCGAGTGGGTGATAGGACTGTCACCGAGTGTCGAGGGAAAATCATGGGAGGGTTGTACACATATGTACATTCCAGCGTGCATCAATAAACACTATGTTACGCTGAAGATCATTTTTGCTGACTCGACTATATATGTGTACGACCCAGATCATTCATGTTTGACACAAGGCCAGTTGGAGCAAAACCTGGAGTCCGTGGCTGTAATTGTTCCTATGATGGCTAGACGAGCGGGGATAAATGTACAGGACAGATTGCGGATCATTCGGAACACGACGACAGCACGATAGTCCGTAAGGTAAGTGTTTGAACTTTGTTGTTTTCATCTTTCAGATTTAGCTTTTATTTACACAGTACTGAACTGATTCATTCTTGTTCAATTGCAGCGATGACTGTGGCATATTTGCCATTAAGTACGTTGAATTTTTAAATATAGGACATAAGGTTGATGGAATCAACCAGTCGTGGATACAGAATTGGAGAAAGAAGCTAGCATGTGATTTGTTCGAATTTAATGCTGACCCGTAAATTTCATTTATATATATGTAACATTTCAATTGTAAATTTAATTATTTTTGTAATTATGAAATAATTGTAAATTTGTGTTCAATGTATATAACATTCAAATTGAAAATTTAATTATTTTTTGTTATTTTACACGTATGCCGAGTATGGAACTATTTTTTTCATATGAATAATTATAAATACTATTTATCAAGAATAAATATTGAATATGGAAGATTTATAAATAACAAATATTGAACAGTGTAAAGTAAAAGGAAATATTATTCATTTCATGAACCTGTCTAGTCGTAATTTAGGGGAATTTGACTAGTACAAAATTGTCGAGTATGCCCTACGGCTCTGCACCGGCCAACCTACACGATCGAGGAAACTCTCTGGTAGATGGTATTCTAGATGTACTTGGACGTCCAGGACCACGTGGTTCAACTGCTGGTGGTAACAAATTATGAAATGGGAAAATGTGCTAGGGAACTTCCTACTCGGCTTCATTCGGCAGAGGAAATATAGTGTCAGCATATGCTGTTCTCCAAGACTCAGTCGTATAATACAAAGAGCATAACGTTCTCGCAGCAAAGCCTCGATACATGGCCACCGCAACTGCATGCTCACATGGAAAACTCTCCAACTGAAATCTTGTACAAGTGCATATGTTATCAGTCAAGTCCACCATATATGCCGTATTACGTGCACATTGCATAGAGAAGCGAAACTCATCTAGTGCTTCGACATTCAACTTCCTCACAACCTCTACCGCCTTAAACAGTTTCTCCTCTTGAGCTGGGGCCAACACGCTAGTGCAACTTTGTGATGTCGCACGTCGGTTATGAAACCACTGTTGTAGCTTGTTACGAATGTTCTCAATCATTGCGAGAATTGGTAACTCTCGATCCTTCTTAAACAATGCATTGAGAGACTTCGCGTTATTCGACGTCATCATGTTGTATCGACGTCCTGGAAAGTATGACCGAGCCCAATGTTCGATCCCCATCTTCGTCAGATACTCCAACGCCGGTAATGATTTACTTCCTATCTCGAGCATGAACTTATTACACTCTTCAGCATTGTAAGCTTCGGCTGCTCTCCTAAACAATGAAACGATGCTTGTGCCCCGATACCAAGTCTTCAAATTACCTTATATATGGTACATGTAATACCCGTGATGTACCCTGGGAAAAACTTCAGCGATACCGTTTATTATAGACTGTCCCCGATCGGTTACAAAGGCAAGGTCTTCGACTTTCCCGATCACTTCCCTCGGTTTAGAAAAGAACCAACGCATGGACAGTCATTCTCGCTGTCGACTATGTCGAATGCAATATGGTAAATTTGGATGTTGGCATCTTGACTTGTAGTAATAATTAATTTGCCTTGATATTTAGCTTTCAGAGTTGTACCATCAACTAGAATTACGGGTCGCATTGCATTTTGAAAACCCCAAATACATTGTCTAAGAGCCATGAAGAAATACTTAAAACAATTATCGCCTCCCATCTCAATAAAAAATACCGTACCAGGATTAGTTATCCCCATGTTATGGCAATACCTAGCCAATTTAGCATAACTATCTTCAGTCGATCCCATTAAATCCTCCAACGCACATTCTTTGGCCTTCCACGCTTTCTGGTAGTTCATGACCACTCCGTACTCTCGACGGACGTCGTTAATGATGTCCGAAGGTCTGTAGATTGTCCGTGGATCCTGATACTTGTGCATTATCTGTCAACCAATAAACCATGCTGCAGCTTGCCTGTGATCGTTTTGAAGAATTCCCACTTCGTAAGTATGTTCCCGTGAATATTTGCGAATTACGAAGCACTCATTTGTATCCATCTTAGCTGCTCTCAAGCGCCAATTGCAACTGTCTTTGACGCAAGCAACTGTCAACAATGACTTGTTTAATTTCTTTACCTTGAACTCAAAGTTATATTTTAATGCCAGTCGGTGTACAGCTTCCTGCAAATCTTTCTTGGTTTCAAACAGTTGCTCGACCTGCAAGTCCTCATCATCGGGAGCCACATGGAAAGAATTGGAGGACGGTCCACTGGTTACAACCTGTGAGCTCCCATGCGGCTCGTGTCTCTGTCGGGATAAAGCAATCAAATTTTCATTTGTAAACTCGTTTATATTCTCATTGTCTTCAACTGTCGACGGAATTATGCGCGTAATAGTGACATCACAATCAGAAGCAACTGTCTCAGGAATACCCACATCATCCGCATAAACTATCTCCACTGTCTCCCAAAAACCTTGATCATTGTTATCCACCCTATCTGAGTCTTCACGTTCACCTTCTATAACATCTTTCGTAATTAAAGTCACACCAAGAACAGTCGTAGTCCGATGCATTTTATTCAATTCTAATAGATAATTCAATTCAGCATCATTAGCAACGAATACCGGTGGCATCGAAATGGATGAATCCCCATAACCGTTGAATAGATATCTCAATTGCATATCGTATTGAGATTGATCGACATTCAGCTTATTTTGCAAATCGGGGTACATTTCTAAGTATGGTGTACTCTCTATTATGGGAATTGCAATACAACCACGTATGTCACTCATCCATCTCCATTCCCACCGATTATTTTCATTCAATTCGAAATCACCGAAATAACACACGGGGATTATCATATCTGCATGATGAAATGGTTTTAATCAACTTCATTTATTAATTATAAGAAAAATGCCAACAAAAATCAGTGCAGAGTCGGTTAATAACAACCAAACAGTCGGATGTTTCCGACTGTTTGGCTATTTGTTAAGCCAAAACAGCCAGTTTGGTTGTTTTTGTGCAGGAGAATATGGTTCTAAAGTTATACATCTGTTCAATTTTTTTTATAGGTAAGATCTGTTAAAAAAAATCTATGCTAACTACTATGTCTACATAAATTTTCTCTATTCAAACGTATACTAATTTACTGAAAACGAAATTAAACATGTTTAAATGTACTTACCAATTTGAAGTAATTGATATGAAAAAAATTTCCGGCTTCAACGTTTCAAAGTTTTTCTAGATTTTGAATTTCAAGCAGATGAAAAGATGAGAGTTTTTCCTGTGTTGGAAGCTTGTTTTGAAGTTTTCATAAGTGGGGAAGTGTTTGATTTTTAATTATTAACTAAAAGGGTAGTATAGTCCTTTCAACAATATATTGTTTTGTAATTATACAAAACATTTAAGGGTATCTTTGTCTTTTACCATACAAGAGACCAATGTCATAATATTCATGATTTTGGAAGTCAAAATGGAATTTAGGTCCACTGAGTCAAACTTAAAAGTACCCCTTTATAACCCCCTTGCTCATCAAATAAAGGCAGTTAGTCTTCGGGGTATTTCTATCAGCTTTTAGAGCGATGAGTCTTAGGGGTTTTCTATCATGAAGAACTAGACAAGTATTTTTGAAGATGGATCCAAGTACTGTACCAAGAAAAATAGGTGACTCACTTTTTAAAGATAATTTCTATAATTTCTTTTGCTATATGATTATCATGTTTTTTATTCATGCATAGAATGAATCTTGAAGGATAGCTTAAATTCAGGGTTTTCGTTCTTTGCTCCAACTGATGATCAATTTGGGTGAAACATCGGGATTTGTTTTTGTGAATTTTTGAAGGCTTCATCTTTTTTTCTTTTTTTTCCTTTCCTAACCGTTGTCTCCTGTTAATAAGAAGAACTAGACAAGGATTTTAATTCAAGTGCTGTTCCAGATCAACACAAAGGTAAGTTAATAATAAGATATTTAAAAAACGGGTCAGTCTATTTTCACGATAGTTTCTATAATTTCTTTAGCTATATGATGATAAATCAAGTTTCAGTTGATTCTGTTTTTGTGAATTCTCTGAGGGTTTTCATAGAATCTCTAAATTTTGGGATTCAGCAATTATGTTCTCTCTTTTTTCTATTACAATATGTTCTTTTTTCTATAGTCTTTGTTTCTATAATTCCCTTGTCTTTATGATTACATTCTTCGATGTTGCATTTGGATGAATTTTGAAGGATCTTTTTTGGATTTTGTTCTTTGGAGTGATAATCAATATTGGGTTTCATTGGATTTTTTATGTGAGTTTCCTCTTAGTTGAATCTTCAATGTAATATGTGCTTTTGTGTTATGTTTTTGTTATTCGTTTTTGACTGGAGAAAGAACTCATTTCCACTCTCAAATGGGGGTAGGAACGTGGTCTGAAACAACACGGCCAACCAAATTTGAATTTTTGCTCTTTATGTTCGTTTTAAAGTTGTGATGTAGAAACACATTCTTTATTCTATTTGTGTTTCATGGATATCAGGAAGAGGATTTGTTGCTTGGATTCTTCCACGTACCTCATCTAGGTTTTTATTGAGCCCTAGAAGAAATTTATAGATTCTTTTCTTCTCCACTTTTTTCTTGTATCTTGCTGCATCTCCTTGAGATTCCAATTCATTTCTTCTTGACACAAGTCGTGATGGACGCCTTCGATCTCAAATGATTTAGGATTCTCGAGGCCTAAAGACATAATGGTTCATTGAATTGATTAGCGATAACATCAGCATATTATATTCTGCTTCAACTCTTGAACTTTGAATCATTGGCTGCTGGAGTTATGGCAGCCCTGGTGACATATTATTCTCCATTCCCTTTCCTCAGATAAACATTATAATGGATTGGGGACCATTGTAACTAATTTTCCTATTCAGTCGGCACTCTAATTTAGGTATCTCTGGACAGAGCATTCAAATTTGGGTATCTCTGGATAGGTTTAATTGCAGGTTAATTGATTTTTGGTTATTCAAGTTGTATGAGCATTCTAAATTACCTCAATCATGGTTAGTTTGCACTTTTTAATATTGAAAGTGCATGACATTTCAACAAGTGATACTATATACTCTTGCCCTTCGGACAAAAGGCTGATACTTCCAGGGTAACTGTTTCTTCATCCCACGATGAGGCGAATTCATGAGTTTCCCAAAAATGTTTCCGTTTACTTTTCAATCAGTATCTTTTCACATTCTGAAATTTGAAACAGCTTTCAGGATCAGCAGAAGTTTTGCACTTTTGCCCATCCCTGATGTGGGTCATCCATTAGCTAAATTCCAGCTAAAGAGATTAAAACACAGTATAAACTTCTTGTTAAAGGTTAGGATTTTTCCTATTACGATAGTTCTTATCTCATAGTTCTTTTAAGATGTTAATTTTCATATTTCTATTTCTGAAGTGACATAATTCGTAAATAACGTAAATCAAGCTGTTAAAGAGGAACATCTGTGATGCATATGAATTGGATTAATCTTTTGAAAGGCAAAGGAACATCTGTGATGCATTAATGGATATGGACACATTCTCAATTGAAAATGTTATATAGAAAAGCTGCAAAAAGTTCTAAGTTTTGTTTAGACACATTCTTGATTGAGTAGCTGTCCTTGTTTACCCACGATTATTATTTTTTGCCTTTCTGCCTTCACTATCATTATTTTTTAGTACATTTATATACTGAAAAGACGATGTTTTTGTTTATTAGAGCTCAAAAACTTCAAGGAGCTTAATGAAGTGTGCTTTTCCAAAAAAATAATGTCAAAAACATTGAGGAGCTTTTGATTTCCATAATTTGCATGCTAAAAAAATTCTGCATTCTACGTCTCTTTTCACTGCTTCTACATGCAACGAAAGCAGTCTGGTGCCCTTTATGGTTGTTTTTGCTTATAATCATCATCCTTTTCCACTCCCTTTTGTTTTACTCATCTAAGACTTTGTTTTAAAATAGCCTCAACCAAATCTATGTGACATTTCATTTCGATTTTGGAATAAAAACTTGTTTTGATACTTTATATGTGCCAATATTAACCTTCTGCAATGTAAAATGTGTGCAGATTACATCAAAATTAAGGAATGCATAACAAATATGAATATAGAACTCACTGGAATGAATGAAGGTATGGTGCATAATCTTTAATCTTTTCACACACTACATGAAAAATGTTGTGGGAAAGTACACCTTTATTTTTTTTATTTATTTTTATTTATTTATTTATTTTTTTGATGAGGGGGAACCCACAGTCGCTACCCTTTCGTGGAGGATCATTTCATGCTTCAACAATTTTTTTCTACTATACTTTACCTATTCAAAAACTCAATTAGATTTCTATAGAAAGCATCAACACCAAACAACATCATTGAACTTGAAGCAACTTCTCTTTGCACCAACGCATCTCTCTCTAGTAAGATCATTTTAATTTATTTTTATATTATCTTTCTCTCAACTCATTAAATAATTTCTTTCTTAATGAAAGCATTTAGATTAATTCTGATTTGATTTCCTAGTCCAACTTGGTAAATCCGTGTGATAAGAAAACAAATAATTAAGCATATCAAGTACTTTAGGACTAATTGAGAAGATTGAGACTTCTCGATCTTGACTTCATCCTGAAGAGGATTATTCTCAAATGGTGTTCAAAACTTGCTTGTGCCAAGAGTTACTTTTACTCAACTTAGCTCTAGGATTATACTCGATTAGGTTAAGAATAACTAAGGCTGAACTCGGCCTTTGTGAGGGAATATGCTCAAACTAAGTTGAGACTCATTTGGACTTATATGCGAACTAGGTTGAGACTCGCTTGAGATTGTTTCAAGCCATAAATGAAATGTTCATAATGAGGTTGAAACCTGAGCAAGACTCGGATGCCCTTATGATAAATCATAATTAGTTAATGTCGAAACTCAATTGTGCTAAAAAATAATAATGATCGATCACGATTGAGATTCACCTGCGTTAGACTTAATCCTTAGCTGCCTAACTTGTTGCGTGGCAATCATATCAGCATTGTTGCCTTTATCTTTGGTTTCTTTTCATCAAATAAAAAATGATATTAGGCATGGTGCAATGTGACACTATTCCATCTGGAAGGGTTCTGAATAGGGTGAGTTTAATATCTTTTGTATTATGTTTTATCATTAGTTTTCTACATAGTATTAATTAGCAAACTATCTTGAGATCAACATCGCAAAACACTTTAAAATTTTTCTAAAGAGCTATGGAGATGCATGTCAGTGGGAGAAAGAAACTTTATATCTCAGGGAGGTAAGCAGCAATATGTCACGGGCCTAGTTTCGCCACTTCCTAACTACACTAGCACCATACGGCCTCAATGCTTCACAGCTCCCATCTCCCACTAGATAGCTTTAAACTTTAACTAATGAGGATAAATTATATGTTAACTATGGTGGAAAACTTCCTCTCAAGTATTTTCTCTCTGCTAAAATATTACTCAACCTCACTTTTATTTATAGACAAACCCAACAAACTCAAGGGTTCTCATTGGTAGCCATTGCGTGTCTCTACGCTTATAAGTTGTCATGTTGCAAGGCCGTATCCCTTTCCAACCTTATGCTAATTGGCATGTCCCTTTCCATGGAAATGGACAATCTCTACAACTTATTGTGCAAGTGGATGTGTCCCTATCATGGACTTTGCTTCTTCCGTCAAGCTTGGCTTCCTCACTGCACAAGTTGTACAAGTTGGTATAAACTTGGACTCGGCATCCACTTGCATCCAAAATCACCAGCCATAGTTTACAGCCTTTCATAATAGTGATTTTCAAAAACATAACTTCTGTCCCTGCGTCCTTTGCCAACGTTTTTCCCCATCTGCTTGTTTTCTATTTGTTCAATTTGCCTATGTCCTGCCTACCTAGCCCGATTGCAATTTTTGCTTGTGTTTTGTTTATTTAATCTGTCTATGTTGCTACTTACATTCCTGAGCTGCAGTGCCTGCCCAATCTGCTTGAATTTTTTTCCTTTCCACGTCTCCCTACTATAATGACTATGCTGGTCCTGCCTGTGTCCCCTTCCATAGTTCTTGTGTTTTCTCAAATTACGATCCCTACCACAGGTAGTTCTGCTTAGTTGTGGTGCACTATCTATGCTACCTAGTTTTTCCTACCTGTGCTTCCTATAGCAAGAAGCTACTGTGCATGCTTTGAACATTATCACTTTCTCTCCTTTGTGGTAGTTCCCTCGACAAATCTGTTGGCATCACGTCCTTATATTAAACAATTGGAATGAATTCATCTGAACTTCATCCACATCATGGCTATCTATGACCTCCAGTTTTGCTCCTCGAGATGGACGCCAATGATCATAGATTAGGACAATCCCGCATGAGATGCGGCCCTATGCATATTTGAATCAACCACTAGGAGCAAAATTACATTTTTGTCATCATAAACCTTTCTCCAATTAGTTTTTTGTTGCCATTGGGCTCATAATGACTTTGGGATTTGGTCTCCAATTCGGCTTATGCCACGCCCTGTCTTTACCAAAATTTCATTTGGTTGGTTTGAAGGTCCTTTGCTTGCGTCTTCGTACTCTTTTGGAATTCGTCAAAGATTCGACAATCGTAATTGCCTTATCTACATCTTTGATGTTGCGATGTTGTAATTCTTGCCACACCCATGTTGCACAACCATCCATGAAATAGAATAGCAAGACATTTTTCGACATGCTTGGGATTTGAAGCATAAAGGTTGTGAACTCTTTGAAGTAGTCATGAATGATACCTTTATGTTTCAATTTTCTTAGCTTCTTGGGGGCCTCAAACACAACATTCTCCAGCCATGTTAGAAGATGATTTAATGTTCTAATTTCTAGACTAATGTACTTGTTCGGCACGACAAGAATTAAGTCACGGAGTCAACCGTGACGCCTGATTGTGGTTGTATTTGAGTTTGCAAGCAAAATTTCCCATTTCCAAGCTATATACTATAGCTACCGTTGACCTCGCAAATTGAACTCTCCATGTGATCAATCGAGAGCCACTCCATGTGTTCCTCCCTATGCACAATAACGAGCGGTCGGACATATACGACCAATACCAGTGAGGGTGCACACTTTGATGGTCAAAGTCAGTAGACGGTATGAAGTAGAGAAGATTACCCTTATCTCTTGTCAAGCCTTTGGTGTTTATAGGCAAAGGGTACTACTGGATGTAGGACACGTAAATGCATCTAACGATATGAGGTCATTAGCAGCATCCTAAGGGGGTAGGTAATTAAATCTTCTGACTTGTGAGTTGATATAAGGCTGCGATGTTGCATCAATCAATTCATATAGATAAGGGAATCCTGACACAGGGATACATCTCTGAAACTGGTGGCAGAGGGGCCTCTGCACTCCTTCACCGTGTGATGCCTCATCTCTTCAGAATTCAATGTCAAAGGATGCCTCAGATAGTATCGCTTAGGTAGTACCTGTGCCTCATAAGCACGTGGTTAGTTCGGGCGTAAACTGGTCTCCCCAAGTTCGAGTTGTGGTTGTTGTTCTAAGGCTCAAAAGCTTCACATCTTCGACCGAGGTAACACTTCAACCACACGGGACTATGCATTAGGAAGGTTGAAGCTCTGTAAAGCTGAGGAGTACATATTCGACCGAGGGGTGTCATCGCAAGGGACAATGCTTTGTAAAGCTTTGACTGAGGAGTGTCACCATAGAGATGACACTTTGTAAAGCTTTTGCAATGCTTCGACCGAGGTGTTGATCCACAGGGGGACAATGCCTAGGAGATGACTTAACTATGGCGTTGATCTACAAGGGATTACACATCAGGAGGATTGAAACTCTGTAAAGCTGAGTTGTGATCCAAAAGGTGTAGCATGGAGACTTGAATGATGTGTCGCGAGGAAGATGGTTGGATACGACGATAGAAAAGGCTTTCGCAACTCTTCAATCGAGGTATTGATCCACATGAGACTACTCTTCAACTGAGGTGATGACCCATAGGGGGATGACACCTAGGAGATGGCCTGAAGTTTTGTAAAGCTTTCGTAATAATTTGACCGAGGCGATGACCCACATGGGACTACGCATCAGGAGAGTTGAAGCTCTGTAAAGTTGAGGAGCTCTGTAACTCTATGAATAAATCTGCCTTACAACTAATTGGATTAATTTCTCACATAAGCGTTGGAGGCCTACTATTTGAAACATCTTTGTATGGCAAGATTGGTAATCCTAACCTGAAATATCCAGCATGCATCAAAAAGCAATTGTACCTGCACGTGGTGTTAAATTTTGCTCTTCACATTGCTCAAGCCATGGACTATTTAAACACAAACGGGATTATGGATGGAAAATTAAAACCTGGTATTTGATTGGGCAATAAGCAATTAAAGATTTTATTCATCTATAATATTGTTATATTGTGTAGTTTCGAACAATTTTATTGTTTCAATGGAGATTAAAATATTTTGTTCACCAGGATTTCATATTGTGTAGGTTAGTTTGAAGGGGTATTTTAATAACAAGTAGGTAAATATATATTTCACAGTATGTTGTCATTTTCTTTTTAGTTTTATTATCTGGGTTGTTATGCTATCCATCCCCAAACGAATAAAAAAAGAGAAATAGAGGAAAAAAGGATGAGTTTAAATCAATTTTGAAACTTATTTATGTTGTGCTCAATGACATATATCTATTTCTTACTATAGGCAATTGATGAATTAATTGATGCTTATATTACCTGGCGAAGCAGAAAAAGAATGCTATGAAAAGCGAAGCTTTTCTACTCTATATGACAACTGAGAACTCCATTGCCTGTGAGTATTTGTAGAAATAATTCTTTAGTGAAGGTTTTCCTTTTGAGCCTTTGTCTTTACATATGTAGGAGGAAGATCTATTTGTATTTTAAGTACGAGCACTAGTTGGATAAAACTTGTATTATTTGTCTTTTTCTCAATAATATTATTGTTCGTATTCCACATGTAAAATGATTTCTTGTGTTTTGAAACGATATGACTTAATAAGTTTCTTTGCATGCTCAGTAAGGAAAGTTCATTCTAGTGTAGTTATAGTAAACATTGAGTTTAATGCACGAGCAAAGACACCTATAATTAAAAGAGCAAACCAACCCCTGATTGAAGGAGCTTTAGAACACTCCTTTCCACTTGAAAAACTGTCACACCACTGAGCAAAAGAGAAGTGAAATCAATGAACTCAAAAGAAAATATTTACATACTAGATTATAGACAATGATAAGATTGAGAAAATTAGTGGGATATAGACCTAGAAAATCATGGAAATTAAGATAATATTTCATGCACATCGATTGTCGAGTTTTCTCACTTCGACCAAGAACCATGAAATGATCATATCCAAATCTTCAAGTAAGTGTACTTTCTAGCAATAAGATTCAAATGGTAGCCGAAAAGAAAATTCCATCAGTTGTTTGTTAGAGAAATACTGCACACCATATTATTCAAGCACCACTTGCAAATAAACACATTCTTTACTTAATTACGACATAATCATGCATATAACATTGTCAAAGGAAGTGTCATTATCAGAACTTACAAATTATCACCACTGGGGATTATCAAACAATGTAAAAGAACTATCACAAACATTTGATTATGAGAAAAAAATTAGTTTTGGCAAACACAGAGAGGGTAGAGGAGGATGATGTTTATGAGCAAAAACAATGATAAAAGAGAAGTAGAATGTTGAGTTAATAGCCTATTAATTTGAAAAATCACATACAATAAAAACTCCTCAATGTCAATAAAACAGAAATATGATGTTTTGACAAATTATATTTCGTGTTCACGGATGTTCTTATCTTAGCATATAAATATACTAAAAATATTTACACATTAGAGTGAAAGTGAAAGATGTTAATTGTCGTATCGAAGGACGAGTAGTTTGCTCCCCACGACATTTAGGAGAAAACAAAAACAGCAACAACCTTCCAGCTCTTTTACCTATAGCAGCTACTACTTCCCCAACGATCCATATGTTGGCTATGACACAATACAAATCGGAAGAAAATGATACCCATCTTTGATTCATATTAATCTTTCATGCAAATCCAAACTAACGAATTCCTGAGATACTAATGCAATATTCAAGAGGTATTATTATATTTAGTTTCCAATTTTTAAATTTATTCTTGGAAACATAATTAATGATTTGATTTCGTAGATTTTATAATAATTTCCTACTTTAATTAGGACTAGTTAAACCTATATAAATGAGTCTTTTACGTTATAATACAACCTTTTGATTATGAAATGAATTGATATTCTCCCCTCATCTCTTTCTATTCTCTCCCCATTCTTTTCTCTTTTCACCCTCATTTATCTTCATCTCTCCCTCTTCTCATTCTCCTATAATTCTTAGAGTTCAATTCTTTTCCTTCGACCAATAAATTCGACCTCCACACTTCAACTAACCATTTCAACCTTCAAGAATTGAACAATAACAACCAACAAATCCCATTTCATTGGAAGAGTAAAAAAAAATTCAAAACCTACTAAACTACCAAAAAAGGGCTGCACAGTAGCTGTCTTTTTCTCGTGAATAGTTTTAGCAGTTGGAAAAAAAAAGTCCCAAAAAAAAAGCAGGTAGTTCACCTATTATGTAGATGATGTTTTCGATTTGAAGGAAAAAAAATGGAGGTTTAATTTGCCATCACCGAATTATTGCTGCATTACTTGCTGTGCAGTTTAACAAAACCCCAGTATACACACTCCAAACATTCAACCTATACTAGCCATATCTACAAACCAACCCCATATATAGTCCAAAACATACTCTAGCTTATAACTCATTATCCAATTTACCCAGCCCAAATTTCGTATAAAGTCAACAATGTTAAACAAATCCTGACAACACATAACCCAATAAAAACAATAGTATACCCAAGCCTATATCAAAAAACAAAAAAATCCGATAGACGCAAATAACGCTGCCCAACCCAAGCCCAATTGCCAACAAAATTAATTAGCCCGTATAACTCCTAAACTAGCACATTCACCCAAAATCCTATGAACTGATCCAAATCTGATCCCACTCTTCCTTCATGCCCTAAGTCCAACCGGCTTACTCTCGTCGATGTCAACACCATGTCACTTTCGCTACTCCCAACGAACAACAACTCTAATTGTTCCAAATCATTGACCCGCCCTACAGCAACTGTAATACACCAAAACACCTAACCCATACCAAATCCCCAACCATATATCTCGCCTCTGCCCACCATTGCCAAATATATTGCCTCCACTAAAAACCAAATCACCTTTCACCGCTGGCCGCTACTGTCAATCTCACTAGAACCTTCATCTGGTCTCTCTGATTGGTATCAGCATTTGAGTTGTATTTCAACCTTGGTTCTATTGGCTTACAGTGGGAAAAAAAGAGAGAGAAGAAAAACTAAAAAAAGAAAAAAGAAAAGGGAAAGTAAGAAAAGAAAAAAGAAAAAGAAATTTCCTAACATTATTTGCTGGTGATATTTTATTCATGTTGATTGATTCAGTTATCACCGTGCCACTGTAGTCTTGCCAATTTGAAAAACGTGATTGGGACATTGTTTGACTCCTTTGAGTCTTGAGAGGTACAGTTTTTAATTGAAGGGAAAAGTGATATGTAGGAATATATTGATGAAGGTCTTCCACCTCCTGATTAAGAGAAGGAAGAGGAGAAGTACCTTGCTTAGAGAACCAAATCTTCTCGAATTATGGCTTGGATCATCGGATTTCTTGATGTTCAGATTGTTCTTAATCTCAAGCCTTAAAAGTTTGCTCATGCTATGTAGGAATTTTTAAAGAAATTCTACACTCAAAACAACAATACTAGACAACTTTAGTTAGAATTTAAATTGGCAATTTTTTTCTCAAAACTCTCTCTCCAATGAAAAGCTTTTATTCTCATTTTTCTAACCTTTGGACACACAAAAATTATTCATGCATCAGTTTCACCTGGGGGTTTAGAGGTTGTACAAGGTAATGCATAAAGTCACCAAGATAGATCAATTTCTCATGAAATTGCATCCTAAATTTGAATCTAATCGATCCAGTCTTATGACTTGCGAATCTATTCCAATGTTGGATGGTTGTTTGGGTGAGCTATTAAAAGAAGAGTAACGACTTATCACTCGTACTTCTTTGGAGCAACAACATAATCAAATAGCACCAATTCTTGTTGCATATGCTACTCCAGGGAAATTCAGACATTGAGATATGTCCAGTGTGCAGTGTTACAATTTTAAAGGGTTTGGTCACATGTCTCTGTGTCCGAAAAAGGTATGCAATTATTGAAAGAAGTCTGGACATGTAATTAAGAAGTGTCCTATTCGTCCTCCACATAAGATTGGACCAAGTTATGTTATGCTACAACTCTAGCCTCTAATTCTGCAACGCCAGTTCCCTCTATTCCAGCTCCAACCTCTCTGAATCCTTCCTCAAACTCCAACACTCCATATATAATCCAACAAATGGTTATTTCTACATTATCTACCCAAGACATCTCAGGTAATCCATCGATCGCTTCTCCCTCCTGGCTATTAGACTCTGGTTCCTTTAATCATATGACTCATGATCCTTTGTTAATTAGTAACTTTAGACCATATATTCGTCCGCTCAATATACATACTGTCGATGATGATCCTTTGTTACTTATTAACCTCAAACCATATACTGTCAACTCAATATACATGCTGCCGATGATAACACTCTTCCTATCATAGCCATGGGTGATATATCACCAAATTTATCTAATGTTTTAGTCTCTCCTAATTTGTCAACTAACCTTATATTTGTTGTGATGTGAATCCGCGTAGGCAAGCACTACAAAACCCACGAACAAGATTGAAATCTTCCCAAGAAATCCAAAGCAAGGTTTTGGATTAAATTCAATAGATCTGGAACCAAGCAACCTGAATCGCCGACGATGTCCAGACTTCTTGATTACACAAAAATACGGAATCTCACTCGATTGATTTGAACACCACAAGATTAAATCTTGATAAGTTCTTGAATTGGTCAATTGTAGAACAAGAGTTGAAAGCAATATAGCCTCTCAAATTACAAATAATGTCAAAAGGTTCTTATAATTGAAAATAAAATAGTATTTATACTAGGTCTAAAAAACTAGGTAAATACGTGACTAATATTTCAAATATAGTAAGAAATCTACTAAGTATCAAATTCTATCAAAAATAGGAAATTCGCGAAAAAATAAAAAAACACGTGAAATTTCAACCATGCAGTCGCATGGTGTAAAATCATGCGGTTACATGGAACATTCAAAAATCTCGAATAATTCCTTGCCTCACTCTGTGCGATCACAGGACGGTTTTAACCATGCGGTCGCATGGTTCTTCTCTCCAGCTCCATCTTCACTTCGGCTGCTTGTATCGTGTTGATCCAATTGGTTTCGGCCTTCGACCCGAACACGAAACTTGTCCCATTTTGAGTCCCGAACATGATTTCATCGATGGTTGTCTTGAAGAGTAATCCCATCGCATCTTTCACTCGCTTTGTCCTCGCTCGTGTCATAGGTCCACCTTTGACTTTCAACGAATCTTCCCTCGAGCTTGACATTGGACTTGATTTGGTTGCTTGCAGCTTCATCCTCATATTTGAACCTGTATCAAAGAGAGAAAGATCAGATACATTAAAAGTTGTCGAAACTTTATACTCATCTAGAAGATCCAATTTGTATGCGTTGTCATTGATCTTCTCAACTACTTGGAATGATCCATCTACCCATGGTAACAACTTTGATTTTCTTTGCTCTGGGAACCGCTCTTTTTTGAAGTGCACCCAAACCCAGTCTCCTAGTTCGAATGTGACAATTTTTCTGCCCTTATTTGCTTGCTCTGCATAGTGCTTGCTTTTCTTCTCAATTTCCTCTCGTACCTTTTCATCGAGTGACTTCACCAACTCGACCTTCCTTTTTCCATCTAAGCTACCTTGTTCATTAACAGGCAAAGGTATTAAATCCATAGGTGTTATAGGATTAAAACCGTAAAC